AAAAAAAAAGACACTAAAAAAGTGTCATCTTTAATTCCAGTAATGTGGTTGGTGAGCTTAGTGACATAAATTTAAAAAGGATTAAGCTTAGTTTGCAACTTCCCTAATTTGACAGTTTTTGAAGAGTTCAAAAAAAATCACTGTCGTGCGCGTAATCGCCACGCGTCATATCTTTCCACTTTGGGTCTTCAACAGCAGTCAGCTTGACAGTGTAGTGAAAGAAATGCATTGGCACGTTTTTTCTGCCTGATTCGATTTATTCAGGTTTCCCGTAAAAATGGGCAAATTGGCTTTTTTATCTGCAGTATAATCACGTTCTTAAATTTATTTGTGACCAGATGAATTGTTAGTAGGAGTAAAATGATACGGCAAGATTTCTCCAAAGAAGAGTAATCGACTTCGTGTTCGAGATGAGGAAATTTTCATTACTCACAGCCCAAAAAATTCACTGCTGCAACAGCGCATTTCAACTCAGCCTCCGTTTTGAACTGCAACACTTGAACTGGCTTTGATAGAATAAAAGCCCTTTCCGTATTCTCATTATCTCTCTCTCTCTCTCACTGTGAAAGTGCGAAAGCGTTCGGAAGTATTCCAAGAGTAGCACATGCTAACGACCACCAGCTGGCAAGACTGTCGATAGCTGTTTCTTTCGAAAACTGCTTACAATTAAGCTTGGGGAATAGTGCGTACAGGAAATGTTAAATCTTTTTGTCACAAACGCTATATTCCATTACTTATGATGGTTTTTAGCCAGCTGATTTTCTTAGTTATTAGTTCACTGCCTTAATAAATATCTGTATTTAGATTTCACTGCCTTAATAAATATCTATATTTAGATTTCAGGATGCTCATTGCCAGAAGAGGTTGTACGGAAAATTTGCCAGGTGGATCAGCAAAGCTCCACACTTACTGCTGCTGGTGTTGCTGGCTTCTCGGCTCGTATCCTCGACAAGTTAGTCGTTCCCTGCAATTTTGAAAAACAAATATCAGCAGAAAGCGAAGCCGTCAGATAAATGCACTGAAAATGGAGTTTCTTGGTTTATTAACAAAAATTCATCATTAGGACGAAAACAGTATAACACAAACCGAAGCAAAATCACGAAATTATGTTTTAGCATCGGATATTTTTTGATTTGGTGATTCAGAAATGATACAGTCTGAACAGAATATTGCAAGAGTGTCGTAATTAAAAACAATTATTGTATTACTTCACCCACAATTCCTCAAGTATTACTTTCAGGTCAGAATATCGGATTGAACAACGGGGGGTTCCTGGCACTGGAGAAATTGTTGTTGTGCAATTGGTGGAGATTATCAAGAAACCAGGGCAAAGCCTCGGCCTGTATTTGCGGGAGGGAAACGGCGCTGAGAGGTTATTTACAAATTTTCTGTGTTGATTTCAAATTTTAAATTTTAATGTTCGATTGAATTTGATAAAAATTTGGTGAATGCAGTCAAAAAATTTTTATAAATCAGAATTTTGTCAGAATTTTTAAAATTTATTGTTTACGATTTTATTCTTGTAAGGGAAGTAGCTGGACATTCAGATTTAGCGCATTGCGCATTACTTACTAAAAAAAGAATTTCTTCAAATACGTAGTGTTCTTAAATTAATTTATTCGCTTTTTAACACAGCTGGGGTATGCTTTATTGTTCTCACTGTTTATTATGCGTTTCTGATTATATGCAAATGCAAAAAGGCATATTGTGACGACCCCGGTGTGTGTGTCTGTCTGTCTGTCTGTCTGTTTGTTTGTTCGGGTATTTCAACTTGGCACCCAAGCAAGCCCCAGCGCCAAAACTTTGCCGGTGGGTTCCCCGGCCAAGTGCCACCCCAGGACCGCGGTACCAACCCTCACGCAAGTCTGGGACCCGCATACGAGGGGTTGAAAGTTTGGTGGGAAAATCGCTGACTCGGGAACCAGAAAAGCTAGAAAGCTGAAATTTTGTGGTTTTATCCCCTGCCCACAGGGAACTCACAAATTCAGCCCCAGGTGTGCGTATTCCCGCGTACAGCCCCTTAAAGGTTCCTGGAGCGAAAATCGCTAATTCAGATACCAAGAAAGCTGGAGGGCTGAAATTTTCAGAGAGTGTTCTCAGTACAAGTATAACTTAAAATTATCAAACTCACGCCCTCGGCGTTTGTGGTACTCACATGCGGCCTCGTAAAAACTTTGGCGGGAGAACGACTAACTCGAGAACCAGAAAAGCTGAAGAGCTGAAATTTTCAGGGAATGTTCTCAGCACACATACAAAAAAAATTTATCAAATTCAGCCTCCAGGCACGCGTGGTTCTCATGTATTGTCCCATGAGATTTTTTGACGGAAAAATGACTAGTTCGGGAACCTGGAAAGCTAGGAGGCTGGAATTTTCAAAGAATGTTCCCAGCACATGTACAACTTAAAGTTACTGAATTCAGCCCCTCGGTGTGCGTGGTTCTCACATAAGGCCCTATGGAAATTTTTGGCGAGAAAGTGGCCAATTCGGGAGCTGGAAAAGCAGGGAGTTGAAATTTTCAGAGAATGTTCACTTTTCAAGTGCAGCATAGATAATTAACTTCCTGAAATTCGAGGATCAGATGTCACACATTTCTAACTACTGGGATCCCAAAAACCTCATTACAACACGAAACACTGCAAAAACGCATGACCGCACGGGCCCTCCCGGTGCGCGTTGCCAATGATTCTCGTTTATTTTGCTCCCTTGGGGTCGACTTTCCAGCTTGCCTGCTGCATTTTATACGTCCAGTCAGTTTTTTATTTTTATCTTTTCTGTCACGAGCGATTCTAGTGCTCTATTGAAATTCATGAGAGGTTCGCCGTTCCGTCGCACTTGAAGTTTGTCACATTCAAAGAGATTCTGAGCATATTTAATGCCAGGTTGGTTGCACCATTGTTTTAAGTGTGGTTTTTCTCTGACTTGCTCTGTTATATTTCTCCCCTCCGCCGGTTTCTACCGCCTAGTTGTATTTTGTCTGGATGAATCTTGTTTTATTTCAAGGTGAATTTTGTAATTACCCAGTGGAGGCAGCCTCCTTTTTCATGCGTTTTGCCCTTTGTAACAGCAGCATAAAAAGCATATTTTCATGGGCTGTCTTTTTGTGTGTGTGTGTGTGTGTGT